TTGTTGTTGTTGTTGTTGTTGTTGTTGTTGTTGTTGTTGTTTGTTTTTGTTTGTGTTGTTGTTGTTGTTGTTGTTGTTGTGGTTGTGGTTGTTGTTGTTGTTGTTGTGCATGATATACGTGGTATCAGTGTTGTTGCCGCTGTTGTTGTTGTTGCTGCTGTTGTTGTCGTCGTTACTGTTACCATTAGTGTTATTGTTATTGCTATTGTCATTGTTGCCGTTGTTGCTATTGGAGCTATTCTTGTTCTGGGATCATTGGCTATGATTGTGTAATTATCATTACTATCAAAAATTAACCCTAAACCCTAAACCCTAAACCAAAACACAAACAGCGAACATCCGGAGGTCGGCTGCATAGCTCGCGCGCTCTTCCGCCTTACGCGCTGGCACGGCATTCCGGTCATCGAGGCAGGGTTGGGGTTTTGGGGTTTATCTAGGGTTTACCTTTTTGGTCTGGGGTCTAAAAAAAGGGTGTAGGGTGTCGGGCTTAGGGCTTAGAGAGTTTAAGGTGGGGTTTAGGGTGGGGTTGGGGGTTTTGGTTGCAGATGGTGGGATGCAACTTTCCCTGGCTGTTTCTAGGAAGATGGAAGCTTTCTACTTAGCATGATGTGACGGAGAGCAGGGGACTTGAACATGGATCCACAAGGTAGCTCCATTTGGGTAGTTGTCAAATTTATGGTCCCTTTTGGGGTACCCTAAATAATAGGTGCCGTATTATAATAAGGACCCAAAAAGGGACCATAATTCCATTTCTTTAAGGGGCTTTAAGGGAGACCCCTAACTTTCTGAAATCCAACCCTAAACCCCAAACCCTAAACCCTAATCCCAAATATGAAAATTGCAGGATCAGCACTTGACCTATCCGAGGGTACGGACTTATTGGGAGCGTATGTGCAAATCTCAAATCGAGGTATCTGACCCTAAGGGTCCATGTACTCATAGAGTATAGACATCGGCCCCAAAGTACCTATGTAGGGACTACTTTAAGGCCACTGTATATACTATTTGGGTACATGGACCCTCAGGGTGAAACAATCCGACCTCTAATTCTACCCCTAAACCTTAAACCCTAAACCCTAAACCCTTTTCCCGGAACCCTTATCAGGCGAAGGAAAAGAGGTGATGAAAATCAAAAAACCCTAAACCCTGAAGCCTAAACCCTAAACCCTCTGGGATGTGCCTATGCGCAAGCTTGAATTACTAAGAGCACTGCTCCCGCGTAGTCCCCAAAGGCTTGAGACCTGGAGTGTCCCCAAACTCAAGTCTCCTAAGTCTAAAGTTCTTGGAACGTAGTTTACAAGACATATACATTATGTATGTAAATATATATATATATATATACATACCGCTTGCATTAGATACCTAAGAACAAGCAGCGTCAATCGGAATTCGGATGATGGTCGGGAGATTGTTTCAGAGGACTGACCCAAGCCAAGCAGACATTTCCGTCCAGAGGTTTGGCGCAAGTGCCGACGAGAGCTACTGTTCTTTTCCATGCACATGGCGCTCACAGCGGCAATGTATGGCCAATACTTCTTCAAGACCTTCTTTGAGAAGTCGTTGGCCCCGGAGGAACTGGGCATTTTGGGACTGAGTGAGCAATATTGTCAATGTTGTTATGCTCTTAACAGTTTTAATAAAGTTGGTGAAGCTTTCGCCTGCCGCTTATGTCAACATCGGCGCTTGTAAATTCCTGGGCATGATGGAAACTCTTGTCTTTGTCCTGTCTGCGCTGCTCAGGTAGCCAGTCCTCCAAGATGCTGGCATGGATGTAGTCGGGGTCCTGTGGAGAGACCCAAGGGGGACCCTTCAAAACGAGACGTGCCCGATCGAGGCTTGTACAGCAGCTTGAAAGTGTGCCCATAAACGCGCGACTCCGCAAGCGAGCTCAAAGGAGTTTAAAGGAGCGTTGAGCTCGGAGATGGAGCTGCGGATTGGAGGAGCAGAATTTCCACCGTCTGCATGCTCGCTGCTCGCTCATCGTACATAGGTGCTCTGTGTAGATATATATTTCTATAGCATCTCAGACTAGTGCTGCTAAAGATAAATTATGCTGATGATGACGATGGCCATGCCGACTATGATTATTACCACTATTATTCTTTTGTTGGTACTATTATGACTGCTATCATTATTGTGTATTGTATTTGCTGGTAGTCGTAACGGTAATAAGAATGAAAATGATAACAACTACTAGTACTACACTGCATGATATACATCCTGGATTACCCATAATAAGGAATATACTATAATTCCCAGGGTTCAGGGTCCTCAAGGTAATGCAGGACTTATATCATCAACAGTGGTAATAGGTTCGCATTAGTATTATTACTATTGTTGCTATTTTCTATTACTTAGCATTGTGATTGTTATTTTATTGTGAAGACAACTATCCTTGTTATTCTTGTTATCAGAAAGTCTGGTTGTTATTGTTACTTTCTGTTCTCGTTATGAGTTATGAGATGTTTGTGACGATGCCCACGCTTTTTGGAAGGCCATGGTTTATGCACCGCATCGTCGCAATGACAGTCATCGCTATTGCTGTCGCCCGAACCGTTATCATCTTCTTCATAGTCTTGATCAAAATCGAGCTTATATCACCCAGCTGATCGCCATGGTCTTCATCACGGTTACCTTAGTCGTCAGCTGCATCATGAAGAGCATGCACCTTCGCTAGCACCAGCTTCATCAGCAAGAGTAGCAGGAGAGCTTAAGAGTTGTTTCCCGGAATATCCTCCGCAGGCCGTGTACACGCGCGAGAAGGAGCTAGGCTGGGATGAGGCTCCCGAAGGGACGACTGGCCTTTGAGATGCTTCCAGGTTTTACAGAAGCTCTTGTGAACATCCGGGCATGTAGAACATGCATGCGACAATCTAGCACTATCTAGGTTTATGTAGGTAGGCGGGTAGGCAGGCAGGCAG